TTAAAACCTAAGCTTATGACTAAGAGTTAGCCTAAGCCTTCTAAACTATAAAAAGATATCATCCAGATAAAGCTAAACTTCAGTTAAACCTAGACGAAGGTTTGCAAAATTTAAATAGCGAAGGCTAAGGCTAGAGCCATTGTTTTGCCAGACCGATCCAAATGTATCATAGTTTTTCTATCCGATCCTGAGCATTTCCTTCGATCCTGGTCCTCACGTTTTTGTGTTCGACCAGCCAGAAAATTGTTTCCGACCGGTCCAGCAGAACATAAATAATTTTTAAAAACTTATTTTCTGTCCCGTCCGGAGCATTTCCTTCGGTCCGGGCCCGCAAGTTTTAGGAACCGGTCAAGCTAAAAAGTTTTTTGAAACGGTCCGGCAAAACACTGGCTAAAACAAAAGCTTGTGCTAGAGCTAAAGATAGATCTAGAGTTAGAGCTAGAGCTAGAGCTAGAGCTAAAGCTAGAGCTACGCTAGAGCTAGAGGTAAAGCTAGAGCTAAAACTAGAGCTACAACTAAGGCTAGGCTATGAAAATAAACACACCAGCATCTACAGTAATAAATCCAACCCTCAAAAAAAACAAATAGTACTATAAAAAACGAACACGCTATACACAAAACCACTACTCAAAAATCGAAATCCTTAGGGCTTTGTTGGTTTTTCTCCTTCAGACAAGCATATCCGAGTTTGTTTAGTTTTGCATGTCTTCGTCTTCAAAACGGGAAAGAATGAAGAATGGGCACAAATTGAGAATAATTGCTCACACTTTTTTGTTCACTACCGTGTTTAACTGTGTTACAAAATGTTTTAACATACGTTTGTTGATCATACTAAGTCTTTTCTGTATGTTTTTGTTTTACAGCAATAGCAACCTTAAAAATTTTCAAAAAAAGCACGCAAAAACTTATGTTACACGCACTAAAAGTCAAAAAAAGTTATAGTACGCAAAAACCTGTACCATTTGCTAAGTAAAACAAAATATCATGCTAAATTTTTACTGCAGTTTTTTATATTTTTACAGTAATATAAATTTCAAAAAATTTTGAAAAAAACAGGTAAAAAACCATCTCACCAAAGCCCAAAAAAAAGTTATAATACGTAAAAACCAGTACTATGTCCTAATTAAAGCAAAAGAGTCTATGAAATATGATATGTATAAATGTACTTTTAAACCCGAAAATATAAAAACAAGTTTTCTAAAACATTTTAGGGCACTTAACAGAGACATACACGCATTTCTAAACCTTTCAAATCTGTTATCAACATCAAGTGCAAAGAAAAAACTTCGGCCAAAAATCAAAAAAAATTTTTTTTGAAGGACAATGTTAATATTACTGTAAATGCCCAGTAACTTTTAAAAATTGTTTAAAAAGTCACCTCAGACATTTATATTAAAGAAGTCCTAGCCAGATCCCTAGCTCTGCAGTTGTAGTTCCGGTTCTAGCTCTAGTTGCAGTTCTAGTTATATTTATCGTTTTACCCCTAGCCCTAGTTTTAGTTGTCGTTTCAGTTCTTGTTCTAGTTGCAATTCTAATACTACTTCTAGTACTGGTCTGGTTTTAGTTCTAGCTCTAGCACTAGCTCTTGCTTTATCTCTAGCTCTAGCCATTGCACTAACTTCAGTCATTACTGTAATCCCAGTGATAGCCTTAGCACAATCCTCAACATAGTCATAACCTTACTTCCAGCCCTAGTCTTATATCTAGCTTTAGCCCTAGCAATAGTTCTAGCCCTAGAAAAAGCTTAAAAAATCGCCTAAAGCACTCATATTGAAAATAACCTCATCACTATACCTGAAATCCAAAATTTTCCAACCAACCCTAACCCTCACTACTAAACCTAAAACAGTTCAAAAACCACCGTGACATAAAAATCCTTAGCCCTGAGTCAGCCGTATCTTATCCTCACCTTGTGTCAGTTATACCACCTCCCCATATCGTCACCCCAAGTCCATACGACACATTCGAACTCCAGAATGTCGTCATTAATCAGCTGTTTTTCGCTTTTCCAAATTAACAAAGCTCTGAATTTGAGCCGCGGTTAAACTGAAGAGCTTTTTTGAGGCGAAAACAACATTCGATGTTAATACGTCTGGACTACAATTTTGTGTTCGACAAGTCTGACAAAATTTTTGAAGTGGGGTACAAAAGAGGGTTGGGAAAGGGGAGAATACAGTTAAGGTAAGATTTAAGTAGGACAAAAAAGACCAAAAATTTAAAAATGAGAAAAACAATAATTTAGTACTAAAATTAAAGCTAATTCGTTGTTAGACTAGAGCTAAAGCTATGCCTAAAGCTAAAGCTAAAGCTAAATTTAGAAATAGAACAAGAATACAGCTTAAGCTAGAGCTAGGGGTTAAGCTAGAACTAAAACTAGAGCTACAACTACGGTTAAACCTAGAGGTACAGGTAAAGCTAGAGCTAAAACATAAACTAGGGGTAAAACTAGAAGTAAAGCCAGAGCTAGAACTATAGAATTAAAACTACGGCTAGAGCTAAATTTAAAGCTAGAGCTAAAGTTAAGGTTAGAACAAGCAAGCTACAGCTAAAGCTACAGTTAAAGCTACAAACTTTGGTTCGCCTAAAGCTAAAGCTAGAGTAAAACTAAGCTAAGGTAAAAAACTAAAGGTATGGCTAATGTAGCGCTACGATAACCTAGAAGAAAAACAAAAAAAACATATATTTTCAAGTTTGCCAAAAATTCACAAACCAGTATTCTTAGTTTGAAAGAGACAAAAGAGTACTTTAGTAAACTTTAAATCAGCCCAGTAAAAAGTGAATTAAAAGCCAATACTAAGAGGAACTACTTCTAACATTGAAAAAACACATTTCAAAGGTTTCAACTAGAACAAGGCCCCCCAAAAAAAAATCGAAAAAAGTTAAACGTGGATTTCTGAAAAAAAATTTTCAGACCCCCGTTCCCAGACCAAAAGTCCCGGACCGGCCCTTTTCATGAAACTAAAAATAATTATATAACTATAAAACTATAAAACTAATTTTAAGTTGTATAAAAATGAATGAGCTATAGACTTCCATATCGCTATGAGAGAAGTAGCTCATTACTTTTTATACAACAAAATATTATACTAGCCAAAGATTTTTTTTAATTTCAGTTCCGCTTTCTATCTAGTCCCACTACCCCATTGTACCTAAATTAAATTAGGTTCATAATTCATTGCACTGAAAACGTTTTGAAAGCCCCCGAAAAACGTCTGTCCCTAACTCTGCAAGGCCGAAAAGAAAAGACCGGGCTGTGACGTAGGCCCTATCGTTCCTCATAATGCCAACTTTTTCTTCGCTTTGTTTCGATGACACAACAAAGAATGGTTAGGAATTAATAAATGCCGGGTATTCTGGTAGGTGGTACGATAGGTTACAAGCATATACTTTAATAGATTAAGTCTATATACCCCTACCACACTATTGTATAATACATTACTTTACGTCACCCTACCGTAAGCAACCATGATGTACCCTACCCTATACTACCCTACCCTGCCCTGCCCTGCCCTGCCCTGCCCTGCCCTGCCCTGCCCTACCCTACTATAACCTACCCTACCCCACTCTAAATTAGTCTGTCCTACAGTACTCTACCTTACCGTACCCTACTCTACTTATCTTTGCCCTGCTCTACTTTTCCCTAACTTACTAAACCCTATTTTATTTTACCATACCCTGCCCATTGTACCCAAGCATACCTTGCTTTGAATTTCCTTACTTTACCCAAACCTGCCCTGCCTTAAGCTACCCTACCATATTTATTTTACTCTATTCTACCTTACCCTATGCTGCCCTTGCTTACCTCACCCTACCATACTGTACCTTAATCCACACGGCTTTTCGGTACCTCACTCAGGCCTAGTGTTGTACAAGTTCCATGCTACTCTACCTTACCCTAACCAACACTACTCTACCCAATTATATCCCCAACCCTACCGTACCATATTTTATCACAACTAAACTTCTGTAGCCTTGTATAGCCTACGTTATCATATCTTTTTCTAATCTACCGCCTCCTCTATCCATTATCATCCTATTAAACCCAACTCTTGCTCCAGCCTACTCTTTTGAAACTGACCTAAGGTTTAAAAAAATCATGTTACCCATCTTTCCTTACACATGATGACCTATTACTAATATTAGTATTACTTTCAGAACAAGAGATATTGAATTTCACTTTTTTTAGCTAAATTTCAATTTTTTTCAAAATTTCAAAAGATCATACCAGTACAATGCCTTAGGTCTAAAAATAAGCTCAAAAGATGAAAAAAGACAGTTTATACTATAAATTACACCAACCGCACGTCTTATTCATTTCTGTTTTTGTTTTTCCGCCTGCACGATAAGTCAAAGTGTCTGGACAACATTTTGGGCTGACGGATTGGTATAGCATATACAATGGGTATAACGCAAGATGTATAATATTAGACATGAGAAACGGGCCGGGCCCGGCCCAATTTTCAGGCCCAGCCCGCGGGGGGGGAAGGTTGGAGGTAAAATCCATCTCCCGACCGACCCACGAATAAATTTTTTACCCCGCCCAAAAATATTTTTAAAAAAGCAAAAGCATCGTTTCAAAAAAGATTGTTTTAACAAAATAAATTACCCCATCTCCCCCCCCCCGTCAAAAAAAAATTAAAAAACAAGCCCTCCATAAATCATAAAAAAATGTTTACTTCTTGAAATCCCCTACCCTTCCACGCTACGTTACCTTACAATACCCTACCCCGCCGCGCCCAAAAATTTTTTACCCGGCCCGAACACTAACTAAGAGGAGTTAAATATACCAAATAATTTCAAAAAAGTCAATAAAATCAAATGTAACAACTGTAGGCTTATACCAACATGTTTCAAAAGAAAATCCATTTCATTCTGATATTTTATTTTTTTCAAATACAAAACCAAGCAGTAAACAATCCTACAATTTAAAATACCTTTTTCACTCACACACTAAACATACATCAAAGACAATAAGCAGTATCACAATCCCAACAACAATATCAATTAAAATCGCAGGTTGGCCAGCACTTTCCGACGTCGTACGCATCCAGGAACGGTATCATTCGGCCTTGCTTTGGGGCGCCCTTCCTGTAATAACTCTCGTAACTTTTAATGTATTCTCTCATCTTTTTACACGGGACTTGCATGCTCTGCTCCATGTACCATCCGTTGTAACCGCCGGTGCCACATTGTTCCAAGTCAACTGGCTTCTGGGATTTAAAAAATTATTTTAGTAAGGTTGAGTGAGGTAGGGTAAGGTAAAGTAAGATAAGGTAAAGTAGAGTAAATTAGGGTAGAGTATTGTAAGCTACAGTGAAGCACAGTAAAGTGGGGTTGAGTACTATAGAGTAGAGTAGGGATAGATAAGGTAAGTTAGAGTAAAGTAGAGTAGTTAGTTTAAGATAAGGTAAAGTAGAGTAAGGTAGGACAGAGTACTATAGATTAAAGTAAGATAGAGTAGGGAAAGATAGGGTAGCGTAAAGCAGAGTAGGATAACGCCAGATGAAGCAGAATAGGGTAGAGTAGAGCCAAGTACCGTAGAGTAAGATAGCGTAAGGTAATTATATATAAGCTACAGTAGGGCAAGCCAAAAGCATAGTAAGCTAAGCCCAAAACTAGAGCAACCAAAAGGTAGGACAGCTCCAGAGCACTACTGGACTAAGGCCACAATAGTTAAGCAAAGCTACGTTAGGATTACCTCTCAAAGAAACTTCCCCAATTAAGAGCACAGAATTATTTGAACAACCTAATACAAAATTGCAGTAAAGTTAGGGGGATGGTGGGAGAAGGGGGGGGTAAACTTAATGTAAAGCTAGGACGAGGCTATAATATGGAAAAGCTCTCATTAACAAAGAGCTACCTACCCTCTGTCACTAAAAACAAACCCCCCCCCCCATAAAAACCATTTTTCACAAAAAATTTTAAAAATCTCACCGCCAATGGAGTTCCGAACCGAACTTTCCCGACATCATTCTCTTTGATGCCATGGAACATAAAGTCTCTGGCGCAGAAGTGATTGTACGTGAAGAATCCATCTCTGACAAAGGCCAGCCCTCTTCTCAAGATTCGTATTTTACCGGGGAAAAAGCGGCTCGCACCAAGCACATTCCTAACACAATATACGTAGCCATAGTACTCTTGAAGGTTTCGTTGAGTGTAATATACGTCCAAGCAGGTGGCGATTTCATTCAACGCTTCTGGCATCACTAACTTTAATACGTGAATCTGAAAACTAGTTTGTAAAGAAAGTTCTTGCCATTTTATGTTTTGTAAAGAAAGTTCTTGCCATTTCCTGTTTTGTAAAGAAAGTTCTTGCCATTTCCTGTTTTGTAAAGAAAGTTCTTGCCAATTTATGTGTTGTAAAGAAAGTTCTTGCCATTTTATGTTTTGTAAAAAAAAGTTCTTGCCAATTTATGCTTTGTAAAAAAAGTTCTTGCCATTTTATGTTTTGTAAAGAAAGTTCTTGCCATTTTATGTTTTGTAAAGAAAGTTCTTGCCAATTTATGCTTTGTAAAAAAAGTTCTTGCCATTTTAAGTTTTGTAAAGAAAGTTCTTGCCATTTTATGCTTTGTAAACAAAGTTTTTGCCATTTTATAATTTGTAAAAAAATTTTTTGCCATTTTACAATCTGGAAAGGAAGTTCTTGCCACATTAACCCATGTAACCCAAAATATCACTAAAGACAAATAAAAAACCCAAAAAACTTACATGTATGACACCATTATCAGCTCCAGAAAATCCTTTTGTTGCCTGTAGCTTGTCGTGTTCTGCCCATTCCAATAGGAATTTGTGACCGAATGGTGTGTTTCTTACCTAAACAAGAATAATTTAATTTTTCAGTAAGAAAAATATTAAAAAAAGTATTGAGAGAGTACATTCACAAATAAAAAATTTTCTATCCCACCCCCCAAAAAAATTTTTTTTACCCCGCCCAAAAATATTTTTTCAAAATCAAAAATTTCGTTTTAAAACAAGCTTGTCCTTCAAAAAATAAAATTTGTTAACCTCACCCCCACCACCCCCAAAAAGGTTTTTTTTACCCCGCCCAAAAATGTTTTTCCAAAAAACCCTTTCATTTCAAAAAAAAGCTTGTTTTACAAAAAAATTAAAAATCCACACTCCACCTCCCCCCCCCTTAAAATTTTTTTTACCCCGCCCAAAAAAATTTAAAAACAAACCCTACCAAAGCAAAAAAAACTTTTTACTTCCTCGAATCCCTTTCCCGCTCCATACCTTACCCTATCTCACCATACGCTACCCTTACCTACGCACCGCTTCCACCCAAACATTTTTTTACCCCGCCCATCAACTAACCAGGTAATTTCCGCTAGCAAATTCGAAATTAAAGAATCGTTCATACAGGATCACATCCACTCTTTCATCAATATATTCCTCAATACAATGATTCGGATTGATCACGGCCGTGTCAGCGTCCAGCACCATCAACCAGTCGACTTTCTTCAGATAAACTGAAGCAGCGCAATGCTTTTGGAAGAATAAGTTGGCATAGTTGCATTGTTTTGTGACCTCGGTATCGTTGAAGATGTCCACGTAGAAGACGGTATAATTGGTAGACTTCAGGTAACAGGCTAGGGTGTCCTTGGCTATTTTGTACATTCTGAAGGAGGTAGTTTTGTGAAAGAAAACGAATTTGCACCCCCTATCACCACCTCTCCTACTTTATCCTACTTTACCATACCCTATTGCACCCTACCCTACCTTACCCTACCCAAACCAGCCCTACATTACCCAACTCTACCCTGCCCTACCCTACCTTACACTACCCTACCATACCATACCCTAACCTACCCTACCTTACCGTGCCCTACCCTACTCTCCCATTTAATATCTTACCCTACCACAGCAGACACCTACCTTACCATAAACTATCGTAAACTATATTCCCTGCTCTAATTTACCTTGCTTTGCCCTAAATTTCCGTACTTTACTCAAACCTACCCTGTCCTATCCTACACTACCTTACTATAGCCTACCATACCGTATTGTAACTCACTATAGCCTACGCTATTCTACTGTATCTAAAAAAACATGACATTAAATTACACTAACGTGCAGTCGCTTACTGTACCCTACCCTACTCTACACTACCATCCTTTATCCTACCCCACCCTTTCCTCTCGTCCATCCAACGCTAACGCACAGCTCTCCACGTACCTTTACCTCTACACCTACCCGTATTTCAACCCCTAACCCAACCCGCATCCCTAACCATAAAACCTTCAAAAATCCTGTAGCACTTCAAAGCCAGACCTACTTTTCATACTCCAACTTGCGGAACGCCACAAAGACTCCGATCTTTCCATAAATCGGTTTACATTCACCCATTTTGACACGTTTTCCACTTCCATATGGTAGTATCTTCTTCGTCGTATTATTTCCAACACCCCCAGGCATATTTTCCAAATCCAATGCACTAGTTTTGTTGGCGTTTTCAATTAGCTCTAGGTAAAGTTTGTTGATTTGCTTTGACGTCATTGGGTCGGCCTCGATATCCAATGTTGTGTTAGATGAATATTGATGATTCTTGGAGTTGCGGAGCCACTTCCTCTTGAATACTTCAAAGAAAGATCCAACAGAGTCGTCTTCATCAGATCCAACTAATATTGCACTAGTATTCGCACTTGAAATGGTACCATTTGTTCCGGAAGCCAATGTACCATTCGTTCCATCAGTCTGTGCATCACTTGGCCCATTAGAAGGTGTACTATTTGTTCCATTAGCCTGAGTGTCATTTTTTAAGCTAGCCTTTTTAACAATTCTACCATCGTCTTTAGTACCAAATGCACCAGTAGCACCACTAACAGTTTGTTCAACCTTTCCTTCAGCTGTACCATGCTTCTTCAATTTAGAATCCATAAGTGTACCAACTGAGCCATCCTTCTTTACACGTCCATCCTTCGTTCCAGTATCACCAGAAGTGACTTTACCCTTATCACCTTGTATTTCATCTCCTGTATCATCTTGTTGCAGCTTTTGACCATGTAACTCCCCGTCTGTACCACCAGCACCATTATCAGTACCAATTGCCTCTTCCTCAAGTTTACCATCTTTATCAGTACCCTCAACAACCAATTTATCAGCCAATCGACTGGAATTCAGCTTGATAAACTTGTAAATAACACCTTCCTTTCTCATAAGCCGATTCCTGGTATACTTCTTGAAGATGCCGTTTAGCTGACCTCGAAATAGTACCATAACTAGACATAGTACCAACAGGGTTATAATGGCCTTCTGTTTCGATATGGACTTTCTGAAAATGTGCGGATTTGAAGAGATGTGGTTTAGGAAAAGTAAAAGACGATTTTAGGTAACAAAATTGAAATTTTTCGGAATTTTATGTGCGAAATGAAGGTTCTTGATATTTTAGGTAACAAAAATTAAGATTTTCCTCGTTTCAGGTAAAGCTCAAGATCCTTCTCATTTTAGGTAACAAAGCTCAAAATTCTTCTTATTTTAGGTGACAAAAACCAAGTTCTCCTTGTTTTAGGTAACAAACCAAATTTAAATAATTTTAGGTAACAAAAATCAAAATCCGCCTTATTATCTTATAAAGTCTAAAATACCGCTTCTTCTAAACCATCTCCCATCATAGTACATCGATAATGATACCAAAAACAACAAGAAACAAACATAATATTAACTTACACACAACAAAAGTTCCGACCGCTTGAAAATCTCAAGTTCGACATCTCTTACCATTCAATTCGTGCCGACAGGCCAACAAAAAGGTAAACAACCAAGTAAAAATTAAAAATGACAGATTTTTGAGGTTTTCAACGTTTGCCAACACCAAAAAATTTGAATATTTAGAAAAATCTTACGAAAAAAAATAATTTTGAAACTTTTTTGTATGTAAAAATATTATTAAAAGCCGGTTTTTTATTTTTAAGCTCAAATTTTTATAAGATATCAGTTTTATAACAATAGAAATCAAAACCATTTGTCTTACAACACGTCCTTTGTAATACTCGGGCGTTTTCAAAGCCCCAGCCGACAGAAAAAAAATCCATGTGAAAATTCTTGAATTTTAAATATTCGTACAACCTAAACGCGTTACATAAAAGTCAAAAAAAAATTTTAATTTACAGTATGACAGAGTACTTATTCTTGCAAAAAACGTGTTTTAATTAACTTTGTTACCTAAAATGCAATTATAAAAATTGTTACCTAAAAATAAAAATTTTAAAAAATTTCAGCTTTATTCAGCTTAAAAATACCATAATCATTTAAACATAACAAAAACTTTATTAAAAACCTAAAAAATATATGTACATTCCTAACATTAATTTATAGGTAGCACCAGGGACGTCGCTACGGTTTTTCTCTGGGGGGCGGGGGGGAGGTCGAAAAAATTTTTTTTGGTCCACAGGTAGCTGCTACCTGTGAACCGATTTTTCAAAAAAAATTTTTTTTTCGTTTTTTCCGCGTACAGGTAGGTACCTACCTGTGTATTTTTTTTCGGATCGGCTCTGGGGGGGGGGTCCCCCCGAACCCCCCCCCCCCCAAACAACGACGTCCCTGGGTAACACCCAATATTATCCTAATCTCACAGCACTTTGCTTCACAACAAAAACGGCAGTCGATTTCATGACGAAATTCCCAGAGCTAGTGATAAGCCAGCTCTTGCCAACAATCGTATTCCTCCTCAACCCCAGCCATCGCATCACCACCCTTCGGTACGGTGTTATAAAGTATACCACGCAAAAGTAGTCGATAATCCCATGTAAGACCATGCCACTTTCCGATATCATCGCCGTCTCTTCCCCAAACTCAAACTGAACATAAAACGCCATAGCCGCGCATAATAACGGCACAATACCGGTCACAAAGTAGTTTAAAATTTGAAAAGTGGTTGCATTGAAGAGCATTACCTGCATCTTGTGGGTTTTTATAGAAAATTTTGTCGCATCCTGATGTAGTTGAAAATATAGCTTGAGATAAAGCATCATAATCAACCCAATAAACAGCACACAAGCTCCGGATATTATTAGTCCTGCTAATCGTGTTTCAAATCCATATTCAAAACACATAAAGTATGTTGTGTTGGCCAGAAATCCCATATATGGCACTCGGGTCTGAAGCTCGCTGTTGGCCAAATCCTGATTCGCAATAGCTACCTTGAATAAGCAGACAGTAATCAGCATGATAAAGCCTGTGTGGAATAGAATAATATACGAAAAAAGTCGACAACGATTGCTCAATAAACGATAAATGAAGGTATTCGGGCTTTGGAACTGAAAATATACGTTCTTAGGCTTATAATGTAAAGAAAAATAAGTAAAAAACTTTAAAACTCGTAAAAACATAATAAAGATTCTGATTTTCATGTTAATTCAGTTTTAAGTCCATCAGATGCCTAAATTTAGCCGTTCTTCGGATAAAATAAACTACACGTCTAATGCCACAATTGGTCCCACAACGAAAAGCCTATCGCGGGTCGGAGATAGTTCGAAATTGAAAATTGCTAATTTTTGAACGCAAAATCTCTGAATTTCAAGAGAAGTTTGATGGTAATTGGGTTCAAAACTAGGATTTTTTGGCGGATTGGATTCTAATAATGGATTTTGGACCAGTTTAATATAAAAATCAAGTTTTGGTTTAAAGAGTTGCTTTCGAACGAATATGGGCTACCACAATATAGCACTTGGTTTCTACGTGAGTCTTTTTATTATTTTTTGTTGGTTTTTAGGTTTATCATAAAGAATGGACATGGATAACTGTTTTTGGTAGGTATGATAATAATAATAATATAATTTGAGTTGTTTTATTGCGCATTAGTTAGAGTTGCGAGAATTTTAAGTAACAAAATAACACCTTTTTGAAGAAAAGCTCTATTTTAACTTTCTGATTAAAATTTTCAATAAGCTTTAACATTAAAACTGTAAGATAACTTACTTGAGCGCATCTATGGCACAAAGCCCATATCATGGATAACATCATGTTGCTACAGGCGAAAATGTAGACGAAAACTGCTAGGAATGGCTTAAAATGGTCTGTGGGTATGGCTGGACTGAATGTGACGCAAGATGATGGGAAATGAAAATGTATTTTAGTGTAGAATGCGTGTGAAGCGTAGAAAAAGCACCAGCAAATGTTGTTTAGTAGCATATATTTGTAATTTTTCATGAACATTGAATGGTGTAGTATGATGTAGATTAAGGCTGGAGCGAATATAACTTCGAAAAACATGGTAATATTGAGCAGATTTTTGCAAATGTACAGTAAAGTAGGGTCTGGTGTTTGAGTTTGAGTTCCGTCTGGCATTACCAGTACCGTTTGATGAGTGTTAGCTGTAGTTTAATATTGGCATATGTACTGATAATTCTTAGATGAATATGATTCTATTATGAGTTTGGGAAAATAGCTAAAAACTATATCATAAGTAAGTACTATTTAAAACACAAATAGTTTATGGATAATTATATTGTTATAGACAAGAATGGCTCTTTAGATGACGAGTCTGTACTTGTAGTTTAATATGGATTAGGGTTTAGCTTCATTGTGCTATTGTCAATGACTTTATACATCAAATTGAATAATAATTTGGACCCTAGTGGTTTAAAAGTTTAATTGTAGTATTATGTATTAAACAAGGTGGTAACAAACAATATCAAACAAATTGAAGAAATAACAAAGAAAAAAAGTAAAAAAAAATACAAAATTTATGGTACAGCCGTTGTCAAAAAATAGTAAACTTTTTGATTTTCAACATAACTTTTTTCGTAATTGTCCGATTAGTATGAAACAAAGTTTGTTGAAAATAAAAAAGTTTACTATTTTTTGACAACGGCTGTATATGCACAAAATAATAAGACTAGTAGAATTCTGTAAAATATTTTACATCAAAGCTATCAACAGTAACGAAAAAGCCGTCGAAAATATCTATAACAACATGAATCAAGGAAACAATCTATAAAAATATCGATCTCAAAGAAATTATCTATAACAATATAAATTTTGAAAAAGTTAAATAAAGCGACAAATTCACAATATCACTCACGCGTCAGCTTCAACAGATTGACAGAAAAAATAAAGCTTGAAAACATGTAACTAGCCAAGTTAAGCAATAAAGCAGTCAGCGTTTTGACAAGGTAATGGTTTATTCGATTAAAATTCAATAAATATTTACACGAAACAGCTGGATATTACAAAAATTTTTTAATTTATGTAATTACGTTAACTCAAAATGGAGTTTATTATGATTCAGCGTATAACAACGCTGTTCTGCACGGATGTAGGATGTTTGTTCTAGTGAATACGTGTATGTTGTTTTTCTGGCTGCAAATCTGAATTCTTGTTGTATTTTTTTGGTAGTAATTCTAAAGTTGAGGTAGTATAAAGTATATTGTTGGATTCAGAAGCTAGTTATGTATCTTTCGAATATGATATTGACTATAACTTTGTTGGCAATACATTGTTTTAGTCAAAACTTAGCTATGCGTATAGATAGAACTTGGTTTATTTTGATATTGGAGGCTTTAATAAATCAAAAGTTAGTGTTGGATATTCCACTGTTTCCGTTGTACTGACTAACAATCATGTTTCTTTCGGTTAGCGCGCTCGTTCCGCAATGAAGCCATCTTTTTACAACCCTTCTATAAGGTGTGATAAAGTACAATATACAAAAGTAGTCAATGATTCCATGTAGACCCAAACCACATTCAGCTATTGCTGCCGTTTCTTCACTGTATTTGAATTGTACCAGCGCTGACAAAGCCGTACATAACAGTGGGATAATGGCAGTAACAAAATAGTTGAGTACTTGAAAAGAAGCAGCGTTAAACAGCATTAGCTGCATCCTGTGGGTCCTCATTGATAATATGGTAGCGTCACGATGAAGTTGCAACGATAAATTGACGTATAATACGATTAAAAGTATCATAAAGCTAAGGCAGCTAGCTGCTACGACAAAGGCTGTGACTTTTATTACAAAGCCGTATTGAAAACACATGTAATAGCTAGTGTCGATTAGGTAGGATAAATGAGGTACTCGTTGTAATAGTTCTTCACGTAGCAGAACTTTGTCGTTTATTGCTACACTAAATAACCATCCGGTTACAGTGACTGTCATGCAAACGTGAAATAACACAAGAGAAGCAGTAAGTCGAATTGGGTCTTGTAGAAGACGGGATATTAGGTGATTGCCTATTTTGAACTGAAATAAGTTGGTTACTGTTGATCAAAATTATAGGGGACGTGGCTACGGACTGGTTATGATAAGGCAAGCGGTATAATTGCCAAGTTTAAAAAACCTACTTGAACGTATCGATGAAACATTGCCCATATCATGCTTAAAAGCACATTGATGGTGGTAAAAGCAAATAGAAAAACTGCAAGTAATGGTTTGAAATTATCAGTTGGAATCAAGGGATCGAATGTAATACAAACTGAAGGAAAGTTTAGATGAATTTTCGTATACGCAGTTACCAACGAATAACAGAAACACCAACACACATTGTTCATGAGAAGGTATTTGTAGTTTCTAATTTGACCAGAATAGTATAGAATGATATAGATCAGTAATGGGGCTAGGAATAGTTCTAGAAAGAATGCTACATTTAACCAGTTTTTGGTGATGAACAATAAGGTTGGGCTCACTATTCGAGTTTGTGTTCCTTCTGTCATGTCAGGAGGTTTTCGTGGGCATGCAACGATTAAATGAAAGATTTTAAATCGTATGATAAATTAGAGATGTTAAACGACACTATAGTATTTGAAAGTTGAAGAGGAGAAATGTATTTACGTTACGTTTTCATGCGAAGGCTTATCATCTTATGTACAAATAGTCTTTAATTTTTACAATTTCTGTAGGCCTGCGGTGGTCTTCTATGTTATTGAGAAAAGAAATGCATACAATTTTGTGAATTGTTAAAGACGAAAAAACTTTATACCCTTTTAAAATTTACATACTTCAAAAATTGTGACGCCTTGGCAGGTGTGTCCCTTGTTGGACCGAATACTGAGTCAAAAATTGTATGTTTAAAATTAAAACTGATTTTCTTTGCGTAGACGTAGAAAGAACCAGAAAATACGCTTAAAAATGACTAAAAAACGATGTTCTAATAATTTATTTAATGTAGGAAAACACTTAACTTATTTATTATATTTGTTCTCATTAACAAATTGTACTTGAAGCTATATTTTTCACTGCGAGGTATTTGTGTAGATACTAATATCTTTGCTAGAACGTAGTCACCGAACGTGCGCTATGACCAGGAAATTTGCTCACAAAACTGCTTCGCTTTTGACTTTTACACGTAAACCAAGTTTTTATCGCTCTTCTGTAAGGCGTAATGAAGTACATGAGACAAATGTAGTCGATAATACCATGCAGTCCAATTCCGCATTCAGCAAAAATTCCCATTTCTTCACCGTACTCATACTGTATTATTACTGCAACAGCTGCGCCAAATACAGGAAAAATGGCAGTGATAAAGTAGTTGAGTATTTGAAATGAAGCTGCATTAAAGAGCATTAATTGCATTTTCTGTGTTCGTAATGACATCTTGCCGGCATTTTCTTGTAGCTGCATGTAAAGCTTGAAGTACAGTAGGATAATCAATATAATGAAAGTAAAACAAGTTACAGCAATTATCAGGGCTGTAAGTTTAATTTGCAGCCCGAATCTGAAGCAAGTGTAATACGTTGTGTTGACAAGGTAGGACAAATGCGGTATTCTTATAAGTAGTTCGTTACGTAGCTCTGTAGGATCTAAGATGACAACGCTGAATAAGCAAGCCGTGAAGAATACAATAAATATGATATGAAATATTATAATGCCGATGATAAGTTGGACAGGATTATTCAGTAGTCGTTTTAGAAATCCGTCACTAGTGTCGTACTAAAATAGTTGGGTTACTGTACATTATGGCGGTATTGTAAGTTCAACTACAGTGGAGCTTCTGTATGACGAATAGCTCGGGGATTTAGAAGTTAATCTTTCTACGTCAATGTCATTATAGAATATTTAGTTATACAGGAGTTTCTCTGTACGCATAAATAAACAGTGTTAAATCGATTTATAACATAGTTATAGAAAAGAAAAAATTGTATGTCTTATGTTGTGCTAAAACACAAAGATTTTTAAATTACCTGCGCACATCGGTAACACATGGCCCATATCATACTCAACATCAAGTTGGCA